CCCCCCACATTTCACGGTAGGTATGGTGTTTTTCCTTCATGGAGCCGATGTGACTGGCCAAAAAGCTCCAGTTTTGTCTCATCAGTCCACAGAACATTCTCCCAGAAACTTTGGGGCTTGTCAGCATGCCTTTTGGCGAATTCCACTCTGGCTTTTTTATGTTTTTCTGTCAATAGTGGAGCCCTTCTGGGTCTTCTTCCATGGAACCCATTTTTGTTCAAAATGCGATGGATGGCGTGATCAGAAAGTGACGTACCTTGACCTTGGAGCTCATCTTAAATGGTTTTGGATGGTTTCCTTGGCTCTTTATCTACCATCCACACTATCCCTCTGATCAGCCTGGGCTTGCATTTCCTCTTTCGTCCACATCCTGCGAGGTTGGCTATAGTCCCATGAACCTTATTCTTTAATAATATTGGCAGCTGTGGTCACAGGAACATGAAGATGCTTGGAGATGGTCTTATAGCCTTTACCTTTAACATGGTTACCTATAACCTTTTAACTGAATCACTTTCCAGGAGAAGTGAAGCTGTAAGGGTACCAACAAATTTGTCCATGTCTGTATATATTCCAATGAGTAATTTATCAGTTAAATAATTTGTTTTTAAATTCTTCCCAGTGTTAAACATTTGAATAGGAAACTCGCTTATTATTTGCTTCGTTGGTCATTAGGTAGTATTGATATATTTTGAAAAATTAGAATAAGTATTTCTGTTAGGCAAATGAAGGGAACGTTTTTTTACAGCATTAATACAGTGTTAATACAGTGTTAATACTTTGTTATAGCTTGGCCTTGTAGCTTAAAAATGTGGAATTACAGACGCTCCTCTACTTGTGAACAAGATACGTTCCGAACGGCCGTTCATAACTTGAAATGTTCGTAAGTCGTTATTCAACATTATTTTAAGGATTATACGCAAGTACAAAGAACTAGGATGCTGGGAGTATGCACGCTACGCTGCTGCACGGCGGGAGTAGCGGCCAGATGTCATCCTAAGCGGAATTGGCACGCAGAAAAAAAAAATTATGTTGCGGACAGGAAATAGAAGCTCAGTGAACACAATGTGGACTTACAGTCCTCTTCATTAATATGTCTCCAAGTTCGTAAGTTGAAAGTAGAGGAGCGTCTGTACATTGCTAAAATGTGTGCTTGTTTTGCCATGATATGATTATTGCTGTTATGATAGGGGCCAATGGCTGGGAAATATCTAATATCACACCTGAGTGTGTGGGAGTCAAAAATTTGAACACCAAATTGAAAAAAATGTGGCACCCATTGGTGAAAAAAAGTCATTGAAGGTTTTTCTTTTCCATTGTTACAGGATGAAGAGAATGGTAACGAAAAAGGTAAGCCTGTGTATTCATTCTCTATAAGCAAATCGGCCAGGTTCTCAAAAGATTATGAATTTGTGTTAACTTATTTCATGCCCCCCCCCCTGCTGGGGACAAGCTGCTACTGTTCTCTTTTATTTCTGATCCACTCGTTCTCAGCTTCATAGTCTCCACATCTCCCTACTTGAAAAGCTTGTTAAACCTATACAGCAAATACAGTAAATAGTCAGTGTTTGCAGTTGTAATGTTAATTAGCATCTGTAGCATCTGTTTTTATCAAGAAAATCTATTTATTTTATATCTCTGAACCTTGTTAGCATACCAGTGCAGCAACCTGGAACCGATGGACACCATCTTTGTCAAGAACGTGCGAGAAAACGGCCCTGCTGACCAAGCTGGCTTGTGCACAGGTAGCTATGCCGGCGGCCATGTTGGCTGCCCTCCAGTAGAATTAGCTGTGGATGATACGAACAAGCGGCGAACCCTTCTGATACGACTGAAGTTCAGGACATGGCACACCGTCCATGTGCTTTAGGACACTAAGGGACATGGAAAGTGAACATGACCGGCTGCTTGTGCTCACACATAAACCTTCTGTACTGCAGTATGGGCTGGAACTTGTGCCTAGATACCAGTGAAAACACAGAGGTCCCCCAAGGCTTTTCTCCTAGGGCTCCCCAACCTACTCATTGATACCACTTAGCTTTGGGAGCTTTCCAGCAGTAACAGTATCTAATGTGGATGGCGGCCACAATATCGACAGGCCCGGACAGGAACCCCCCCCCACACCACCCCCCCTTGCCTGCCGCTTCAGGTCAAAACGCTTCTTGTCTTCCTGTTGTGACTCGTCGGCTCAACCTGGCTAACCCTGGAGTCTCTGCTAGCAAACAATCCACCCTTTGATATCAAGCCAGTGCCCCCCCCCCCAATAACGTCATCACTCGGGCCACAGGGCAATTTTAAATCCATACCCCCACCCCCAGCCCCCTTAGCACCACTGTCTGGAGACCCCTCCTGGTGGACATAATGAGAACCCCTCAGGGGGAAAGGGGCGGGGTCTCAGAGTCCTGGTTCTGGGTGGCCGTAAATTCCCAATGCCTCCCCCACCCACTTCACTCTAGCTAGAGCCATCATTGTGTAGGCCGTCACGATGAGAAGGGGTTGCCCCTTTAGTGCATCCGGCCAATCAGGGTCTGTGTGTTGCAGGGGACCGGTTAGTGAAGGTGAACGGGGAGAGTGTGCTGGGGAAGACCTACTCGCAGGTGATCGCCCTCATCCAGAACTGGTGAGCACGTATGAAGACCTTTGACATTTCATAATGATGGGAGCAGGGGGCGGGGCTGCAAGATCAGGTACTTATCATCCGTCCAATCAGGGAAAAGCACTTAACATTTAAGTTAGTTATTTCACAATTTCATGGTTACAATCTGGATTTCATTTTAAAATATAATTTAGGTTTGCTTTTCTTGCTGAGCTAACTAGCCTAAACAGTTGATTTATTAACAACAGTCTCATCCTATTGTATATTTTGAAACATATTTTAATAAGTGTTTGTGTATTCTGTTTCCCCCCCCCCCGTCTCCCCCCCCCGCCTCTTCCCGTCTCCCCCCCCCG